CTCTGGAGGCTGGCTGTGCAGTCGCTGGATAATTTCAAGATTTGGAAAAATCAAGATTCCATGAGCAGCAGGAATTAAGTTACGCCACATCTGAGAATGAACCATGGGATAAAATAGTTGTTAGGCTGAAGTAACTTAGTAGAAATATATTCACCTAATGACTGTTAATTTGTTGCAGTGCGCCAGATGGGACATAATTTTGGGGGGGGCAGGCAGAATTAAGACTACATTTACCTGTTTTACAAATCATGTGCCTCTAAGGGTTTCTCCTAATGGATAAAGTCACCTGGATTTGACTAGTATGCAGAAACAATGGGGCAAGGATTAGACAATTAATTATAGATTGGAGTCTTTGCTAACTGTCAGAGTCAATTTATTTATTTATTTATTTATTTCATTTTTATTTATTATTAAATTTATATGTCGCCCATCTCCCCTGGGGGGGGTCATTATTAATTGTCATGGCATACTAACAAACGAAGCAAATAAATAAATGGTGAGCCATTGGAAATTGTACTTATTCACAGCTTAATAGCCTATAATGCTCAAGAATTTACATTTATCAACAAGGGATGGTTGTGAAAAAATATCTAGTAACCAGTTTTTTTTCAGAGAACAAAACAAATTCTGCATCAAGGTTCTTGAGTGAGGCTTAAGCAAAATATATAGTTCTATGATGTATGTGAACAGAGAGCTAATACAGACAGTAGCTATCATCCTTAATAGAAGCATGCTGTGGGCCATCTTACAGGTTTGGTTTCCAAAGTTTTAATTTTTAATCTTGGTTTTTGTTGCACATCACTCAAAGCCATTTGGAGTTGAGCAGTATAGAAATGTTAGAAATAAATAAAATGACAAGGTATGGATTTTTAAAACCATGGTTTGTTAAACAATCCATAGTAATTTGCTTATCATATAATATTAAATAACAATAGCAAGGTTTATATATTACACACAACCAAATGTTTGTAACTACATGTGTTAACAAAACATGTGAATTTAACCTACTAATTTGGTTTTCTAGTTCCCAGACTTGGGCATCAGTGACTATTTCAGTAGCTCTTATGTTTTTAGAGGCCTCGTTAATTTGGAAATTATTCCAGCATTTTTATTTTCCTTGCCTTATATTTGCTAAGTAAATATTTAAAAAATACCTGTTGTAAAGGTTGTTTAGGTTTGCTCTTTGTTTTTCTTGTTCCTGAATTGATATACAAGAAGAGAAGATGACTGATTTTGCCTTTACTACTTTATATATCATAATATATACATCCAGGACTCTGTAACATGTAACTTGTGTAATAATATGCGTTTGAATACAGACCAATTATATGTCCCCATAATTATTTATAGCACAGACATTTGGTTTTGTCAAAATGATGAATGCAGTCACAATGCCTATACAAAAGAGGAAAAGACTCTGGTGTGACGCTGCTTTTATCATTTGCATCCCCCTCCCCAATTCTGCCTACAGATTCCTCTGATCTGTAGGTAGATAGTATGGATTTAATAGTTATATCTGAACTTTATCAAGAAGTTTTATTTTGTTGGCAGACACGGCCTTACTCTTTTATGAATCAATACATACTGCCATGGGATATACAGTAATAATACCAACATCATAGGAATGTACACAAAATGGGGCAAATGTTTTGTTCAAAGCCAGAAGAAACCACGCCTCAGAGGTTCTGTTGAAAGATTGTGTGTCAGAACTGAAACCTGGACCACTTTGGTTTTTCCAGGTTTTGGACAAAGCAAAGTCCAGATGGGTGAATAGGGCAAGCTAGTGGGCTTCATCCCTTCTCTCTCCTCTTCTCCTTCAGGAATTCCAGTATGGCATGTCCTACTGACCCCCTGCTACCTTATCTTCCCAGCACCTTCTTTTCCTCCTCTTAGCCATTGTTGTTGCTGGTGATGATGTGATGATCAGTGCCCCAAATTAAGTGTATCCCAGTGGCCAGTCTACCCTCATTTTTCTCACTCTCTTCTCCCCCCCCCCCCCCCCCCATTCATCTATCTTTTTACCCATTCTTCCAACAAGCCACTTCTGCCTGGATCACAATAGCTCTGTTTCATCCTCTGGATAAACAAAAAACAAGTGTGTTGCAATCTGAGCATGGACTGAAACATCAAAATCATGCACATTTTGGTTTCAATATGGACTAGACAGAATCACCTGTTCCATACATGCAATATTTTACACATCCCTACAACAGATTTTAAGCAGATGTGAAAACACAGTCTGCAAGATTCCAGTCTGCAATTCATGTGGCACAAGTGTTTCTTCATATACCTTAGCATCTGCAGTGACAAAAAGTATGAAGGTTACAAGTTGATAAGCGTGTGCACATGCTAGGGAACTATATATTTTTCACATTTCTGCTTCATAGTTTATGAAGACTTGCTTCCAATACTGGTGTGCCTAGCAACTTATCTTTGGCGGTTGAACTGATAGAGATTCTTTAAATAAATGAAGATAATAAAACATGCAGGGAATTCAGTTGAATGACAGAATTATTTTAATTGTGATATATAACTTTCTTTCCAGTTCTTTGTCACTGGGATATGATAGAACTAAAAAATAAAGTGAGGCTTCACTGTCTATGTTTCCAGCAGATGATATTTACTTTGCTCTAAAAGATTCCTCAGATGTAAGGAGATAAAATATAAATATTATGTTTTTATGAAGTTCTTCATCCATAGGTTAGTGCAGTCAGAATTACGTTTAAAGTTGTTCCATTTTAAGAGCAAGATTTCTGTTAATAGAAGCCTATAGTTTGTTAGAAAGTGAAGCTCAGAATGAATTTTTGGAATCTGTGGGAGTAGCTATTTTTGTAGAAAGCCTTTTATGAATGTTGGAAATACATTTTTTCGGTCGGTGAATGCCAGGAGGAGGTTTTTGTGTCTTACATTTGATAGGCTCAGGTTTGTTTTGAAAAATGAATGATGTCATTCAGAGAGCAACTATATAACTAGTATGATGAGTACAATATTTAGTTATTTGAGCTCTTAGACCTCAACAAGATTAGAAATGTTTACTACTGTTTTCTTTGAGCTCTGTCTTCTAATAAAGGACTTCATTTGGATTAGGAGAACTGCAGATATTTTTCAGCCATTTTATCTGAACTGTAACTGAATTAGATTAAAAGCTTGAACCTTAATAACTAGACTTTTCAAGAAAACTATATTACTTGAGAATGGATCTATTACTAAGTTATTTAATTTTCAAAGGCTTGGCTGCCCTACTTTGATGGGCCCAACATATTGGTTCTGATCTTCCAAATTTGCAGTTCTGAAGCTGAGCATCTTCCTTGTTCTTCCTCAACCATCGTTTTGTCATGTGGAGGAAAAGAAAGCAGCCAAGAGTAATACTACAGGTTTAAACTTTTGTTGTGATTGTCTCTGTTTTGTCCATATGCCACTGCAGAATAATCACTGGTGGTAAAGCTTTGTCTATAATAAATGTATAGAAAGTATATTTGTGTCTAGCAGATAATTGCCATAATTTGCTGTTATGGACAGAGGGTGAAATCCTCCCCTTTGGAGATACTTCAGTTATTTTTAGCTATTTAGTATTATGGAATATATTCAGGTAACTTTAATATTTTGGGGAAAATGCTAAATGAAATTTTCTTTCACTCTCTTACTGATTTTTGTATGAGAGATAGTTGCAGTTGGCACTTTAACCTAGTCACAGGTTTAACTGTATTTCATAAGACATAAGGTGTTTGTGTAAAAACATACACCTCATTGAAGGAGTTCAGGACATAGCTCAATAGATCAGGACAGAAATAAACTTCCTTTTTACTGGCTAGTGGTTTTTTTTTTCCTCTCATCCTTCTTTTATTTCTTGATTTAATGTAGTTCAGACTGATGGATAAATTGATAT